ATACAACAACACAGCCCTTACTGTAGCCTGGTACACACGACCCTTAAGATCCAGTGAGATGCCTTTTTGATGCCACAAGTGACGCAAACTAGCAAACGTAATTCGAGCCTTTGAGATTCTTGCACTGACTTCATCAAACACACTTCCGTCAGAGCTAATGCAACTACCGAGGTATGTAAAGTTTTCCACAATCTCCAGTGGTTCTCCTTGAATTGAAAGGGATATGTTTGCAGATGGCGCGTTCTGAAGCATGACTTTCCACTTTGAAGGTGCAAAGCGCATGCAAAAAGATGGCATGATGGTGGTCAGTTTGTTCAACAGGGCTCGTGCTTCGCTATGGTCTTCAAAGATGAGGGCGATGTCATCTGTGTACTCCAAATCGACAAGGCTCTCACCAGGAACAATTTGGACACCGGAGTTTTGAGGATCGCTTGATGTTCGTCTCATTACTCCATCAATGACGAAGTTGAACAAGAATGGAGAGAGCGGACATCTTTGTCTGAAACCACTTTTTGTAGGGAAGCTTTTGGAGAGATCCTACACTCTCACTCGCCCAGAAGTATGTGAATATAGGGATCTGATTATGTTTACAAACTTCTGGGGCATACCCTGTTAAGCAAGTGTGGTTAACAGCACTGGTCGATCAGGCACACCCCTGAAGTTTAGGAATACCAGGACTGTGGGTTGTCTGTACATGTGGCCTTGCCCTAACACCTGACGGACTGTGAAGATGTGGTCAACGTAGCCTCTACCCGGTTGAAATCCCGCTTGATTCTCACGAGTCAAGACTTCGTGTGCCGCCATAAGACGACGAAGAATCAATGACGCCAGAAGCCCTGTCACAACAGGCGTCAAGCTAACGCCTCTGTGGTTACTACATTCACTGTGAGTACCACTAAAGTCGCATCGTTGTTGTAAGAGTTTGACTCAATCGCCACTGCAGTTGTATGTCATTCTGGTCTACTTTGATGAAGGCCATTTCTTATGGACATCTCGTTTCTGTTTCTGGTCATCAGTCTTTCAGCTATCCTGTCCAAACTTTGGTTCCGAATGTATATAAACAGCTGAAGTGGCTCGTAAAATCATTGGGTTCAACGTACCTTGTTATAATGATTCTTCTTCCTGTTCTCCATCATCATCATCACCCTGGACAGCGTGACTCAATGTTCAACACTGATGCTTCGCTGCCATATTCCTGTTCTCCTATCTGGGCTTGGGAACGCGGCAATATCCCAACCGTCGTTTTCCCTTCTGGTTGTATGCTAGTTGACTACTTTTTTCATGGAAATTTGGCACTTTACCAGATATGTTGGGATAAATCACAGGGACGTGGATTTCTGGGAGCATGGTGCGCATGATGAATTCGATCAGCTGGTACGCTGAACTAGACCCAGTCTTTGCCCCGCTGAATGCAAAGGATCACGCTACTGACAATCTATAAGTAGCTCAGTGGAAGAATAAACGTCACCCGATGAGTGAAAATTTCATCTGAGAAATCGTTGCTTGAGGCCTGTCTAAGTGCGAGTGTCTGCTTGATGCGGATCCTGTGATTCAAGGATGAGTGACGCTATATCCTGTCTAAGTGCGAGTTAATCACACTGCTGACAAGCTGCTCGTGGACGAACGATTGAGTGTTCAAACTACTAGCCAGCAGGTCAGAAGTTCGAAACTCTCCAGAGTTTTGTGAGATGCGCACTGCTGATGATTTCCAACAAGGATGAAACAGTTGTACAGTGCTTCTCGGCTTTTCAGTATAGATAAGCTTCACTTACATGACGAAATCTCCACACCTGGGTTGCTGAAGCAGCTGGGCATGTGATTAATAAACAGGAACATCCATGGAGTCACATCACAGAAGATGGGGGACTCAGAGAGGTCGAAGAACGACGGTAAGATAGATCGAGATCGAACGTCACGTGTTTATCAACCAATCGGTAGACCTGGTACCGGGCCAACCACCAAAACCGCCCAACCAACCAACCGCTGGTAATTGAAGGTTAATCGCGGTTGGCGGCACGTCCATCTATCCACGCTCACCCCCACCCAATGCTCAGCCGTCTTCTGTTTCTCAACGACTCACCGGTAACGTCACCTCCAATAGTGATGAGGCATGTGCGAGCACAATGCCTATTTCAGCTAACAAATTAGCGACCATAACTTGCACTTGCTCTGGTGATTTTGACTGGAATAAAACATTTGCTCCAGAACATGTACTTAGCCTATGTATAACCTGCCGAACCTCCTCGAATAAACACGCTGTTCACAAAAATTCGCATAAGACGTCAATCACCGCTGGGATTTGAGGCACTATCTGGCTGTAGCTTGGGTGATCGCTTCATGTCACTTGTACTTTTAAATTGTGGTCCTTCGTAAGCACTGAAGCAGGTCCAAAGTACACTTCATCGGTTGTTTCAACCCTGATTACTCTTAGCTTTCTGGTCGCGGAGTCGAGATGGCCCAGTGGTTAGAGCACGAGTTTACTGACCGGGAGGTTCGTCGTTCGAACCCGACCTCTACCTCTCGACTTCCCCTGTCTAGACGTGGACAACCTGGCAGTATTCCAGCCTTCGTGCCTCGTTCTGGTGGCATGGCAGTTTGGCACCGAAAGGTTGCTACAGCTGAACAATTGTTTTTTATTGTGCCAGCCGACCAAGCGGCCATAGTGTGACTTAAAATTGAGTCATTGGTACCACTGAGCGTGACAGCCTTATTCTTAGTTCCTCTGCGCAACAATACGAGCTGAACCTTGATACGCAGATCTCGAGATGGCTCCATGGCACGAACTTATTAACTGCAAAGCCTTTGGTTCAAACCCGAACCCAACATCTTGACTGCTGCTGTCCGGACTTGAGCAAGCAGATAGTATCCGACCATTCATGCTTCCATCAGGTAGCATGGCAGTTAGGCATCGAAAGTGTTACAGCTGAACGGTTCTGAATACTGGAACGCCGATCTGCTCCTTTACTGCGGTGTTGGCGGGCTTTGGATGCTCAAGTTGAGTTAATTTAATTGGTGGTTTTCATAAATCTTCAGCTCGTCTTCCATCACTGCTCGTTTATATCACCCTGTCTAACCATCGGCTTGCTGGTCAGCTTGACGTTTTGGAATGTACACAATCCTCACGTATCGATTCTTTGTTTTACGCACACAAATTGTGAATTACATCGGTTTTCATTTGCCTTTCTTGCTCTTTACCGTAAGCACCTATTGAGCCGAACAGTTCAACTGCATGTAAATGGTTAGCGACTGTAGTAGCTTGAGAAGTACTAATGGCAGGCTGTGTAGTGTTGAGGATTAGTTTTCACTTTACGACACAACATTGGGCTACTCCTTTGCATCGATATGATACCCTTAGCAGCAAATTGTAGTGAGGAACATGGGCTGGGGCGATAGTTTATATTATATGTTTGATCCGCTTTGGTGTATAGCAGGAACTGAAATTTAAAATTATGGGAAAATGTATCTAAATAGGCTATTATTTTTTGCAGATGTGATAGAACGCACCCTGATTCATGTTACCAGTAAGCCTTGGCCGGATTTCAATACATTCAGTAATCCCAGGAAACGTTTTCTGCCCTTTTCCCCGTTTAACT